GGCAGTATCACTATGAAAGTAGATTGTCCCATCTTCCTTCTGAGGAGTGACTGGTGGGTTTGAACCTCCAGCCTTCTGGTTAGCAGTCAAGTGCCTTAGACACTATGCTACCAGAGCTCCTTCCCTTCCCTTTGTTGTTGTTGTTGTTATGTGCCGTCAAGTTGGACCGACTCATAGCGACCCCTCCTTGGGTTTCCGAGGCAGTATCACTACGGAAGTAGATTGCTCCATCTTCCTTCCAAGGAGTGGCTGATGGGTTTGAACGACAGCCTTCTGGTTAGAAGTCATGTGCCTTAGGCACTACACTACCAGAGCTCCTTCCCTTCCCTTTAGGAAGGTTGATTTGTAGCTTCAAATGAAAGGTCATTCATTCTGAGGTGAGGTCATGTATTTGTATACCAAGATAATAGTTTCCAGGCAGAACCAGATGACTTCTTTATCTGGGCTCAGGAAGTAGGAGCTGGGAAAGGTACAAAAGGCAGAATAGAAGCTCAGAATTTGACTTAGAGGTAGAAACATCAGGTCCAATCAACCAAATGAAGCAGTGGTTCAGTGATAGGATTCTTGTCACCCATGCAAGAGGCCCAGGTTTGATTCCTAGCCAATGCACCTCCTATTTCTGAAAACTCTAGGGATCACAACAGTCTGATCCCATTGTGCATGGGGTCACCTTGAGTGGGGGCCACCTTGGTGGGAGCTAACGATAATAAGGCCTCCCAACCATGGGTCACTAAGGAGAGAGGAAGGACCCAGAGGAGATGCAGACCCAGGAAGAGCATCTGATGAGGTCTTTGGTTTCTTGGATCTCCTAGATCACCAAGCCAGATGGCAGGGACACAGGATCCTCAACTAGCTGACCTTTCTGTAAGGTCAGCAAGACCTGGGCATTAAGTGTGGAGAGAAGAGGCTGAGAGAACCAAGCATGAGGGTTAGACTGATTTCACTGGTCCTTGGCTTTTTCTTCTAACCAAAGCCTTCCAAGGAAAAGGGGTATGGGAATTAAGAAGGAAGTAATAAGTCCTGGAATAGACCAATGTAACTGGAACAATAACTGAGCTAATGATCTTGGATGTCTAAAGTTAGGAGAGAGGATAGAAAGTCTTACAGGACAATTTTCTTAGTAATAATATCTAACATTCACCAACATTCCAGTATTAATAAGACACTTTCATATACGTTATCTTATTTGATCTTCACAACATCAACCTCTGCAAAGTACTATTGCCCCCATTTTATAAAAGAGGAAACTGAGTCAAGGGTGCTCTATAGCAGTAGTGTTAGAGTTGAAACTGAGACTTGAATCTGGGTTTTGTGGCATTTTCCTCCTTGCCTCAAGACCACTAATTTCAGAAAGAAAATGCCAGACCAATTTGCCCAATCTTGCCACCATTACCTATAAAACAGATCATTGTCATCTTATAAGAAATACAGAGCTGAATGCCTTCCTAACCCTAACACCCTTATGGATGGGGAGAGTGAGTGAAATCATGGTGACCAAAGTGGCCTCTGCTCCTTGGGGTGTGAACACTCGAAAGCCTTTTTGGAAAGGCTGGATCCTGCTTAAATGTCTAAGGCAGCGCCAAAGACAGTACAGAAGAGAAGAGTGTTAAGAAGTTAAAATTGGGTTAAGCTAAAATGATATGTTTCCCTTACCCACTCTACCGACCCACCAGAATGGGGCTGATTGTCCACTCTACTCTGGATCTTATCAAAAGCATTAGCCTCTACTCCAGGTCCTTCAAAATGGACATTCTGAAGAGGAATGGCAGTAAACTGCTTAGGGTTTTGTTTGTTTCTAAAATCGTGACTAGACCCCAAACTTATGTGTTTGTTAGGCAGAAGTTCTGATTCGATATGACCCAGGCAGACAACTCCACACTCAGTGGCTTCTCCTTTGCCTGGAAGGCATTCAGGTTCTTTGATAGATAAGAAGCATGCTCTAGGTAGGGAATACAGAAAAACCATTCATCCGTCAGTAGAGGCTTGCATGTTGCAACACCCACTGCTAAACATGTTCTAGTGGAGTTTCCAGGAGTTTCCAGATTAAGACAGACTACAAAGGAAAGCCTAGAGCTCCGCTTCAGAAAATTAGCCAATAAAAACCCTATGGATGCATGGGTAACTGCCTCCATGAACAACAATCTACTCTGCCATGAGACCAGAACAGGATAGTGCTCGTATCATTACTGTTTTGACCAAAGAGTCTATGAAAGAATCCTGATCAAAAGGGAGAAAATGCAAATTCTCATGGAATCTAGAGTTTCTGGAGGCTGGATGAACCCCGGATACTACTGTCTGAAATATTAATACTGTTTAAATATTAAACAAAAAATACACCCTGAAGTCTTCTTAAAACCAAACCATAATTTAGTAAAGAATAGCTGTGTTGTGCTCTTTTAAACAATGGGATTAAATTGACAGCAGCAACTCAAGAATAAACAGGAAACTTAGGGGTCAGTGAGTTCATGTTACTGAGCGAGGAACAATTCTGAAAAGGAGGGTGCAAATGATTGCATAACTCGAAGACCATAATCAACATCACTGAATTGTACATGCAGAAATTGTTGAACTAGGGCATGTTCTACTGTGTATATTCTCAACCACAAAAATATATAAAATAAATTATTAAAGAATGAAAAAAGCAAACCCTATAGATCATAACAGCCAGATCCACAACTGATCATGGGGATGGCATAGGTTTGGGCAGGGTTTCCTTCCACTGTGCATGGAGTCGTCATGAGTTGGAGGTCCACTCAACCACAGCAAACAACAACAATAAAAAGGTACTGCCCAAGGCTAGCAAAGGCTCTTTTCTGATCAACCTAGTACTGAGCATTAAGTTCCTACTGCAGATGCCCTCCGTGCTTGCCATCTTTAACCTACCTCCACCAGTTTCCTGGGCTGCTCTTCTAACTTGGCTACCATACAGACCAGTTAGAGAAATCTTTAGGTCATACGCCTGTCAAGATCACAAGCACCTTTCAACACCCAGGTCCGGGGCCACCTCCTCCATGAATGACCCTCTAATTCTCCCTGCATCTCCTACTTTTACTCTTTCATTGCTGTTTAATTTATGCTTTTTGTGCAGTTCTTCTCTAATTCTACTCATGCTAATTAATTGTGAACACAGTTCATCTTTCCTAATAGATTATAAACTCCTTAGAGATAGATAAGTGGTTGATTGCTCTATAGTTTCCCTCTCCACCTTCCTGGCTGGCACAGGGGTTTAGCTTTAGACACAGTAGGAGTACAACAACAGCAACAACGAAAGTTAACTTTAAATTTCCTTTGGTTTCTTAAAAAATAGGGTAACTGGGAAAGGGATCAAAGAAGTCCTCCATATAAGACTATCCCTCTCCGCCCACTATCCTTTGGCAAACCTCACGGACTATCATTTAATCTCTCCCTCTACCTGTACTGCCAGGTCACTGCAGCCAAATCCAGCCAGCACAGGCATATAAAGAGGGTTCAGCTGGAGTGACAAAGCCAAAGGTTCCGTGTTTGGTTATTTTAAGAGGTTAAACTACATAAGCAAAAACAAGGGGTTAGTGCCATGATCTACCCCCAAGGAAAATGAGGAAAGAATGTGAGGGGCAGGAAGTGCTTAGGAGGAGGTGAAGGAAGAAGCCAAGGGAGTTATCTGTAAAGAGCAAAGGCACGAAGTGTGACCATTGACACCCAAGTGGATTCTCCACCATGACAAGGAAGATAAGACACCACATCTCTTTTAGGAAGATGGAAAGCCCAGACACTTCTAGGTGAAAGGTCATTATGGCCCCAGAAGGGCCAAGAGACCTGCTCATGCCTCAAGGTCAGTGGGAAACCAAGGCATCTGGGAGAAGAGTGGAGGTGGGGAGAAGGTTAGAGGGAAGGTAGAAAAGAACTACCATACCTTCTGATTGGACCAAGAAGGCGGGGGCGGGGGGCAGTGGGAGAATCACTCCAGAAAGTCCTTACAGGAAAAGCTGCACCTTTCTTAACAGGACAGAAAATGGGAACAATCAGTGAGGGAGAAACAAGTCTGATTTTGGCCAATGACTGGTAGATGAGGTGAAGGGCCTCCCATTGTAGCACCCCATATAACTCACATTTTCTTTATTGGCCAACGACTAGACTAAGGTCAGACTATACTCTCCTAGGTCAGGTTCCAGGAAGGCAATGATCACAGAGGTTGAGAAAAAATTCCAAGAATCAAAGTCAGAACTCAGTCAGTAGAGGGAGGAAAAACCATTTCTAATGGAAGATTTAAGATGTCTCTCTCTCTCTGTCCTCTCTCACACACACACACCACAAAACACCCCACTGCCATCGAGTTAATTCAGACTCATAGCAACCCTACAGGACACTAGAATTGCTCCATCAGGTTTCCAACGCTATAAATATTTACAAAAGCAGACTGCCTCATCTTTTTCCCACTGAGAGGCTGGTGGGTTTGAACCTCTGACCTTTGTGGTTAGCAGTTGAATGCTTTAACTATTGCACCATCAGAGCTCCTTACACACACACACACACACACAGAGACCCTGAAATCCATATGGACCTGCTAAGTAAAAATCTAATTCCAGTTCAAAGATGAGAGGTTTACTGCAGAAAATCCTCCTGGATTTTCTGAGGCAGTGCGGGGAGAATGTTATCTATTCTTAATTTCATCTCGAATCATTCTTTTCTTCTGGGACCACAGAGAGGACGATGATTCCTCCACTCAGGGCCAGGCAGGAAGCAGGACGTACAATGAGGTCCTGCACATCTCTGACAAACTGGCCAGCCCCCTCAGGCACTGCTTCATCCAGACTTCCTCTTACTTCTGACTGTGGCCATAGGTCATTCAGGACAGAGGCAGAGAGGGTAGAGTCCACCTGGCACCAACTCCAGCACCTCTCCGACTCTCAGCAGTCCCTGGGAGGAACTGGGGGATGCCAGGAGCAGAGGCTGCCTGAGCCTGCCTTCCCAAGAGGCCTGGTCTCTTGGAGCCACAAAAACACATCTGCATCCCAGCCCTGTGAGGGCTCAGCCCAGCACACACAGGATTCACTGTAGATGGGAGAGGAATGGACTTCAGAAATATAAGAATAGCTCCTCTAACCCCCATGCCCCAAATGGTACCTGCTAAAGCCTTGATCCGGGACCTCTCAAAGAGCCTGGCTGAGCTGTTGTCATTATCCAGTTCATCGTCTGGGGCATCCCAGCGGGCATTGATCCGGCTGTATGGCGGCTGGTTGCCCTCATTTTCAAACTCCGTGGCTGATGTCATGTCAGCAGGCTCTCAGCAGCTCTGCCTGCCTCAGTCTTCATGGAAGGGTCCCTGGGGGGAGAGCAACACAGTCAGAGTTAGCTCCCCGCCCCTTGGACTTTTTCTCAGGAGAAACTTATTTGGAGCATCTGATAGAAGTAGATCTTTCCAGAAGCAGCACACCATGTCATCTGCCTGGGCATGCTTCCCAGCCAGGGTCTCTGGGCCATATGTTATAAAATATGGCAGCAGCAGCAGTAACGGCGGCACTGTCAGTGGGGACAGAAAGCTGCATGCAGCAAGGGTCAGGACGACCAGCAGGTGGAGACGTCAGTCAGTCGCAGAGAGCTGCTTCCTGCAAACCTGCTGCCGCCACCGCAGGAGCACAGAAGGGGAGGCTTTCCTGGGAGCCAGAGACCACCTGTGTGTGTGTGTGTGTGTGTGTGCTGGGAAGAGCAGCCCTCTGCCCAGGGGAGGAGGGCCATGGCCCCACCTGGAACAGGGACACTGAGAAGGGGAAGGAGAAGGGAGAAGCTGTGAGTCAGCTGAGTACAACTCCAACAAGAATCAGCCAGGAGAAATGAATGCAAGCTTAGAGCTGTCACTGATACTATCAGCCCCTGGGAGCCGGGAGCGCAGGAGCTGTGGCCCAGGAAGTTGTGGCCCGGTGTAGGGGTGAAGGGGAGGGGAAGTTCATTCCTCACAGAGGGTGCCCAAGAACACTCCCAGCAGCAGATATTCAGAAATCTGAGCTTTTGTTTTTGGCCTTCTCTGAAGTGTGACCAGGTTCTCAGACAAGGTCTCCTGTTGAATCCCAGGAAAGAACAAGAAGTCCAGAGTAGTCTGTTACCCCAGTCAAGGCAATCAGCCTGATAGTACTAATGGTGGTGGTGGTAAGGGACTCCTGTGGACAACAGAACTGTGCCTCGGGTATCTCTGCAATGAATGTGAGCATCAGGAGCACTGGGTCCTCCCTTTCGATTCATAGTGACCCCTCCTTGGATTTCCGAGGCGGTATCTTAAGGAAGTAGATTGCCCAATCTTCCTTCCAAGGAGTGGCTGGTGTGTCTGAACTGGCAGCCTTCTGGTTAGCAATCAAATGCCTTAGGCACTGATTAATTCAAATATATATCTAGCCCCATCTAGGCAATTGGCACTGTGCTAAGCAATTATGAGTAAAAGAGGAAGGCCATGACTTCGTGAAGGTTTTATTCTGGCAGAATAGCCAGACAGTTAAACCAGCAATTACAATAGGGTGTGATGTGTGCTACCTAACACTGGGAAAGAACAAGGTAAGGAAGGTGAGAGATTCATGGTGAGGACTGTGGTGTCAGGGGAAGGAACATTTAAGCTGGTACCTGAGGGAAGATTGAAAGTACCCCACAAAGAGAGAGATGGAAAGGGAAAAGAATCCAAACCCAGGCAACAGAGAACAAGAGCAAAGTTCTGAAGGTGAGAAAGAACATGGCAAGCTTTAGGAATCTTAAGAAATACAAAGTGACAGAAAACAAAAGAAGGATAAGGTAACAGGCGAGTAGGGAGGGACCAAAGGAGAAAGGTGAGAGAGGAGGGTAAAGAGGCCAGGCTAGGCCTTGAATGCTTTGGGCCTTTGGAAAATGACTAGCATTCCTTCAGCCTTAATTTATTCATCTGTACTTGCCATTCAGTCATCTCCCAGGGAACTTAAAGGACCCTAAGATCAAATCTGTAAGAGAGAACAGGGAGCCCAGAGCACTCATATCAATGAGAGTAGGGGAGGGCGGGGAACAGTGAGTCAGACACACGACAAGAGTCTCAACAACCAGTGAGCTGTGAGATAAACCCACCCCATCTACCTGGGCATGCTCACACACGTTACACACGTACATGCACATACCTCAATACACACACATATACCACACATGCGCTTGCTTCCAATACATATACATATGCACCACACATTCACCAACACACTCACACACTCACCTCTACATGCAGAAACACACTCTAACTTACCCAACACATGCATCTCCCCACATGCACATATGCACCCAAACGCACATACGCACCCAAGTATGCACACATCAATTCAAGTGTGGTTGTAGTGCGATACCCCTTGTTTTTCAGACACAGAATCATTTCAGACTATTTTTCTCAATGAGATTAATCGATCCCACCACATCCCTTTGAGGTAAGAAGGAGCCAGAATTATCCTCCCTAACTGCGGGAAGGAAAGAAACCAAAGCCTAATACAGGATGAGGGCTCCCCAAGGTCATCTAGGGAATTACAGCTGCAACTGGGACCAAAGGCCAAACTGTCACCCAGCTTAGCTCCCTTGTCTGGGTGGATTTTAGGGAAGCAGGTGGAGGAGCAGGGAGAGAACATGGCACACGGAAACAAGGGCAATGGCCAGGTGGTTGGTACTTGGGGGGAGGTGTTTGCCACTTGGGGGAAGAGATGGGATAAGGTGGGAAAGTCGGTCATCACCCTGAACAGTGGCCTGCCCCACAATGTCAGGGCTGTCACCAAGAACACATTCTCCCTTTGGAAAGCCTGTCCTTTTCCACAAACAGACAAACTACCCCCCAGGGCTGAGATCTCCCACTCAACTAGCTACACAAAGAGAGTCGGGAAGGACCCCCTACTCCCCACACTTTTCTCCTCCTCCCTTAAGGGAAAGCATCTCCTGCTCAGAGCTCTGAGCCACAGAGGGTTTGATAGGCTGACCACCCTCCAGCAGCCACATGCCTGTCCAACATCCTTGAGGAGGGCCGGACTGTCAGACACAGGCAGTGAAGTGAGATCAGACCCAGCAAGGGAGGTAACTGGACCCTGGCTCTCCTTCTGCGTCCTGGGCTATTTTTACGAGTGGCCAAGGGAGGCTCAGGCCACAGGCCCGGGGGAGTGAGAATACTTTTGCTGCGGCTTTGTAAATAAGTCTGCTCCAGAAAGAAGAGCCTGAGCAGGCAGACCAGCAGGCCCTGCGTGCAAGACAAGATTGATGGCTCTGATGACAAGAACAGATATATGCACGCCGATGTTCATCGCAGCACTATTTACAATAGCCAAAACATGG